TGTGTGTGTGTGCGTGTGTGTGTGTGTGTGTGTGTGCGTGTGTGTGTTCGTGTGTGCGTGTGTATGTGTGCGTGTGTGTGTTCGTGTGTGCGTGTGTGTGTTCGTGTGTGCGTGTGCGTGTGTGTTCGTGTGTGCGTGTGTGCGTGTGTGTGCGTGTGTGTGTGTGTGTGTGTGTACTCACCTAGTTGAGGTTGCGGGGGTCGAGTCCGAGCTCCTGGCCCCGCCTCTTCACTGGTCGCTACTAGGTCACTCTCCCTGAACCATGAGCTTTATCGTACCTCTGCTTAAAGCTATGTATGGATCCTGCCTCCACTACATCGCTTCCCAAACCATTCCACTTCCTGACTACTCTGTGGCTGAAGAAATACTTCCTAACATCCCTTTGATTCATCTGTGTCTTCAGCTTCCAACTGTGTCCCCGTGTTGCTGTGTCCAGTCTCTGGAACATCCTGTTTTTGTCCACCTTGTCAATTCCTCTCAGTGTTTTGTAAGTCGTTATCATGTCCTGGTAGCCGAAGCATGTTTTAGGCATATTCCCCTAAGAAAGAAGAAGAGCAGGAGTAAACTGGAGAGAAAAAGACGCTCCCTCTACAGTAGACGACGAAGAGTCACTGAGCTCCTCAGGAGTGCTAGAATATCTGATACACGAAAGGAGGCGCTGACCAGGGAAGTGGAAACTATCGAACTTAAGCTAAATGACTCTTACAGGAACCAGGAGAGGCAGGAGGAGCTTAAAGCTATTAGTGAAATTGAAAGAAATTCAAAATATTTCTTTTCATATGCCAAAAACAAGGCAAATACCACATCTAGTATCGGGCCCTTACTCAGACAGGATGGGACTTACACAGATGACAACAAGGAAATGAGTGAAATATTGAAATCCCAGTACGACTCTGTGTTTAGTGAACCACTAATCGGTCTGAGGATCGACGACCCAAATGATTTCTTCATGAATGAGCCTCAAAACTCCATAAATGTATGCCAGATTTCCGACATTACCCTAACTCCGATAGATTTCGAAAAGCCATTGACAACATGCCTATGCACTCAGCCCCGGGCCCAGACTCGTGGAACTCTGTTTTCATTAAGAACTGCAAGAAACCCCTCTCGCGTGCCCTAAGTACACTATGGAGGAGGAGCTTGGACATGGGTGAAATTCCACAGTCACTTAAAACAACGGATATAGCCCCACTCCATAAAGGTGGCAGCACAGCATTAGCTAAGAACTATAGACCAATAACTCTGACGTCCCACATCATAAAAATCTTTGAAAGAGTGCTAAGAAGCAGGATTGCAAATCACCTGGATTCCCAAAATCTGCACAATCCAGGGCAACATGGGTTCAGGGCAGGTCGCTCCTGCCTCTCACAACTACTGGATCACTATGACATGGCCTTGGATGCACTGGAAGAAAATCAGAATGCAGATGTAATATACACAGACTTTGCAAAAGCATTTGACAAATGCGATCATGGCGTAATAGCCCATAAAATACGTGCTAAAGGAATAACTGGGAAAGTGGGGAGATGGATCTTCAACTTCCTAACAAATCGAACACAAAGAGTAGTGGTCAACAGAGTTAAATCGGAGGCTGCCATAGTGAAGAGCTCTGTTCCACAAGGCACAGTACTCGCCCCCATCTTATTCCTTATCCTCATATCAGACATAAACAGAGATATACACCACAGCACCGTATCATCCTTTGCGGATGATACTAGGATCTGCATGAGGCTGTCATCTGCTGAGGACGCGGTTAACCTCCAAGAAGATATAAACAAAGTTTTCCAGTGGCAACGGTAAACAATATGATGTTCAATGAGGACAACTTCCAACTACTCCGTTATGGAAAACTGGAGAGATAATAACTAAAACAGAGTATACTACTGACTCCGGCCATACAATAGAGCGGAAAAATAATGTAAGGGACCTGGGAGTAGTAATGTCTGAGATCTCACTTTCAAGGATCACAACAGTGCCACGATCGCACGTGCAAAGAAAATGATAGGATGGATAATGAGAACTTTCAAAACGAGAGATGCCAAGCCCATGATGATCCTTTTCAAATCACTTGTTCTCTCTAGGCTAGAATACTGCTGTACATTAACATCTCCATTCAAAGCAGGTGAAATCGCAGATCTAGAGAGTGTACAGAGATCCTTTACTGCACGTATAAGTTCTGTCAAGCACCTTAACTACTGGGAACGCTTGGAAGCACTTGACTTGTACTCGTTGGAACGCAGGAGGAGAGATATATCATAATCTACACTTGGAAAATCTTGGAAGGAATGGTCCCAAATCTGCACACAGAAATCACTCCCTGCGAAAGTAAAAGACTGGGCAGGCGATGCAAAATGCCCCCAATAAAAAGTAGGGGCGCCATTGGTACACTAAGGGAAAACACCATAAGTGCCCGGGGCCCAAAACTGTTTAACAGCCTCCCATCAAGCATTAGGGGACTTGCCAATAAACCCCTGGCTGCCTTCAAGAGAGAGCTGGACAGATACCTAAAGTCAGTACCGGATCAGCCGGGCTGTGGCTCGTACGTTGGACTGCGTGCGGCCAGCAGTAACAGCCTAGTTGATCAAGCCCTGATCCATCGGGAGGCCTGGTCATGGAACGGGCCGCGGGGGCGTTGATCCCCGGAATAACCTCCAGGTAACCAGGTATCTCTCCTGTCCTCCAGTGTCGTCAGGTTGATTTCCCTTAACCTCTCCTCATAGAACATACCTCTTAACTCTGGGACTAGTCTTGTTGCAAACCTTTGCACTTTCTCTAGTTTCTTTACATGCTTGGCTAGGTGTGGGTGTGTGTGTGTGTGTGTGTGCGTGTGTGTATCACGACTTTTTGAGGTTGGGACCAAGTGTTTCATGCCAACACCTTGAAAGGTGCAGTGGTTATTACTGGTACATACAAAGTATCTGCTCCTCTGGAGAGACAGCATAAGAGCTAGTGATGGCAAATGAGTTTTTTTCTCTGGGTCACCCTGGCTTGCAGGTTGCAGATGTTGCATGTACGTACCAGACGACGCGAAGCTCCTTCCTAGGACCCCGAACACCTTTACAATACCTCGCCAGGATCGTACTCCGCTGTATTTTAAGCATATCTCAGGTGTGTAGCTCCTGTAGGAGCCAATAAAGGCGTCTCGGTCATGTAAAAACACAATGCGCATGTTTCTTTGTTATGGAAGTCGTGGTGTGGGTCAGTTCTCAAGGTTCTTCTCAGTATTATCCACCTAGCCACTCCTGTTGACGTCATAGTCTTGCCAGACACATTGTACTCTCTCTCTAACTTTCCATACTGAGAAAGCTTGTTACATTATGCTTTTATTTGTCTCATATTGTTGCGTCAGTTAGCAAAAAGATTTTAATTAGGTATTTAAGTAAACGAAATAAATAAAACTAATAATATATAATAATTTAAGTTTCTGGCAACAAACTATGACGTCACAGAAGCTATATTCCAGGATGTTGTGTGTATATATATATATATATATATATATATATATATATATATATATATATATATATATATATATTTTATATATATATATATTATATATATATATATATATATATATATATATATATATATATATATATATATATATCAGCTATTATTTAAGGTTTATGCTGAAAAATTTAATCTCTTCAACGATGTTCCTTCAAGGAGAGAGTCCCTCGAAGCAGATGAAAGGCTCTTGATCTTAGGAAATGGAGCCCCCTTCCTTTTCTTTGCATTGCACCTCATTACCTTTCATTCCCCAGGCGTTGTAACGACCCCTACAGGCTTTGCGCTTCCCCATGAAAATTATACTTTTCAATTAGGCTTTCTCAGGGTGTCACAGGACTGCCAGTTCACTCCATCTCTCCGCACCTTTAAAATTACACTGTGTGGGAGTTAAAACAGTTTTCCCACGCTGAATTAGTAACTCTAGGCACAGGTACACATAAATACAATTACCATGAATAGTGTAAATTACCTAGGATAACCCAAAAAAAAGTCAACGTATGACGCCGTTTGCTTCCTTATACATTATCACCCTCACTACTGTGCGTGGAAACAAATATGATGAATCATATCATTAATAGCTCTACAATGCCAAGTAGTTGATGATTGAGACACGTGCGCAGTATCTGGGTATATTCATTTTTAAGATATTTGACCAACCAGTGACTTGATTAATTCCATACAGAGCTTATGAGCTGGAGACAATAGAAGGCAGTGTATGTCTGCCTCCCATCGTCTCCGTGGCTGCATCAGCTGTGTTACGTTGAGAATGGCAGCATGCCGGGGCATGGCTTGGCATAGCGTGGATGAGAATTTTAATGAGCGCTAGTGCGTTCTTAGTTGGATAAAAGTTGATTTAACGTAGGATAACCCAGCAAGGACTGACAGTATATCTTATATCCACTAGGGTTTCGTACCTAAGGATGCCACCCATGATAGTCTGGTAACACCCGGGTACCTATTTACTGATAGGTGAACAGGGGCAGCAGGTATAACGAGGAGGCTTGCTCATACTCTCCCCTTGCCAGGTAAACGAACACAGGCATATTTTTAACAGTGTAAGCTGTATGCCGAGCAATAATTCAAACTGTGCAGTAGAAAGATTACTGGTGCCACTCGTAGTTCCACTGGAACTACGACCGGAAGCGTCTGCATGAGTTCGCTGACCTTTTTTTATTCAACTGAGTCACATTAAAGGTTAAACTGAGCATACGGGATTGCACTTCAAAAATATGCAAATTCAAATGCAGGAATTTAACTCTCGATATTTTAACGAAACGTGACGTGAAATTTAACTACGATATAATTACAGTAATTGAATTCATAAATTTAAAATTCAAATCAACATTAATTCAAGGTTTAATTTCTTCTGAAGAGTCTACAGAACACTGAAGTCTGATCATTCTGAGGGCCACGCGTATTTTTTTTATAGGGCCGAAGGTCTGTGACCCCAGGGTCAGCATAATACTGGACAATAGAGACATGGGACTTACATTCTGGGCAGTCATGTTGGTGGTGTGTGGGTGGAAATTTGTGGATGCCGGCGGAAGTGATGGGAGAAGAGGTGTCCCTCGTGTTGGTTGGAAAAGTGATGATACACACAGATCACTACTCAACAACGTTGATTTATACTCCTAGCTGCAAGTACCGACTTCCAGGGGCGAGTGTATAACGGTGTTTTCCAGTAGGGTATACAAACTGTAAAGCTTAAGCTTGCTATACAGTGCACTCCGCTGCAGCCGAAAGCTGAGTGTGAGTCACAGGTGAGCAAAAGTTTTCCTAGAGCAATAGGTAGATCCCCGAGGGTGTCAAGGAGTGAATGCAGCCTCCGCCGCTTGTCTTCGAGTGATCCAGGTGAGCTGGATGTTTCCCACCTGCCTTGAAACTTCTCTTGTCAAAATCTTCCTGTATCCTCTACCAGTCTTCCATCCACAGTCACTGCTAATGATACGTAATTCTCAATACATTTCGTAAGCCCTTTTTTTGTAATGGGTGATCGTTCGTTTTATTTGTATAACGGGGCTTATCCGATGTTGAGAGTGATGCCAGTCGTCGCTAGAATGTCAACTCTCTGTTACAAACCCTCCAGCAATGTATATATAACCCACTAAAAGCATTAGCTTTCACTTCACACGACTGAGTATATACACTGAAAGATGTGTATCTCTGTATATACCGAGAAGCATGAATTTCTCGGTGTATATTATTATTATTATTATTATTATTATTATTATTATTATTATTATTATTATTATTATTATTATTGTCATTATTATTATTATTATTATTATTATTATTATTATTATTATTATTATTATTATTATTATTATTATTATTGGTCGTTTCAGTTTTTTCCCGCATTTTCGGTTTACTTATTGGCTTCGTCTTCCATAATTACAGCATTACGGTAAGTTAAAGCTTACGGGGTCAATGAAAGCAGTCAAAATGGTGTGTGTGCTGGGTAGGTGACCTGGGTGGAGCTCTCTGGTGGTGACCCCAACAACTACTGGTGTTCCAAGCCTGGTGGAGCAGTGTGGAAGAGGAGTGTCAGCACTAGGTGTGGATAAATTAGACACATGTGCAACATTTGGGTATCTTTAATGAGGAAACGTTTCGCCACACAGTGACTTCATCAGCCCATACAAAGGAGAATGGTAGGCATGACCTACTTCCACATTCGTCAAATGTGATACCACCTACGACTGCTGCACCTCTCCTGTCTACAGTATATAAGCTACTTTTTCGCACATATCGTGTAAAACTCTGTGGTAGGAAGACTCGTATTACAACAATCCATTGATACACACTCAGTTCACGGAGTTCACTACCTTATTACAAGATAGGCACATGGCTTCTGCCGAAAAGAAGAGGCCACGATGCTCCATGAACACGACGGAGGACTCAGATTTGGAAATGTGGGGCGAAATTCTAGCGAAGAAGTTGCGAGAGGAAGAGGAAGATCCTGCTCACATTGTAGCAGATCTGACAGTCCCAACCATGGAGCCAGCGACAATAGAAACAGGTGCGGAAATAAACAACGCACCCCCGAAAACCAAGAGGGATGGAACACTGTGGACAACAAGAAGAAGCGCCGTCCGTCCAAGGAGCAGGCAAACCAGCTCAACCGACCTGGCAAATTCAAGGTGAAGTCTTACGGGGACCACAGAACCCACTATGGCGTTGTTTCATACCTGGAATCACGACACAACCTGAAGTTCAAGATATGGTTCAACTTGAGGGGAGAACCAATATTGACTCCTCTCAACAAGGAAATGTATACCACCTTGAAGAGAGTCATGGAGACAGATCGCTCATTCACCCTGGAGGAACTGGACTCTCGGCAGAAGATCACCCAGGGTGTAGTGATGCGATACCCGCTGATGATGTCCATCGAGGCAGTAGCAGCTCACCCCAGTGTGGTGTCAGCTCAACGTCTCAAGGCAAAGACGGCAGGCAACCGACACCAACCCGACAGGTCCTCATTCAGCATGTAGGACCACTGCCATCCCAGCTGGACCTCGGTTCTTGGGGCAGGTACGATGTCAGGACCTTCACAGCAGAACCAGTTCGCTGTTTCAAGTGTCAGCGTTATGGACACCTGGGTGCACTCTGTCCGAACACAGTAATCTGCGGTGTTTGCAGCCAGCACCACCCTACCGAGGAATGCATCACCAAGCTGAAAAATGCATCGCCACCCACTCCACAATGCCCGAACTGCAGGCAGAAACACCATGCCTGGAATCCTCGATGCCCCGAGAGGCTCGCCAGAATTCAAGAAGTCTGGAAGACGCCAAAAACTCGGCAACAGGCTACGACGGATCATCACTCTCAGCAAACGATGGGTGCAGAGAAACCTGCCATACCGCAGATCTCTCAGCAACTAACCCAAGTCAATGCCCAGGAATTCCCAACCCTAGAAGTCTCAACCAGGCGTCAAGGTCAAGAACCTCCTGCACCCCTACCTCAACGAAGAAACAGAAACAAGAGGAACAGGAGGCGTCAACAGGGTGCATCTGGTCAATGCGATCAGCAGGTGGCACTAAACGAGCCCCCACCGGCCATAGCACGACAACGCAGGCACTCCTTACCCGGCACAGGCCCTTTGCAGACTCAACTGGCACCTCACCAGCAGATCCCGGCTACCCAACCTGGTATACAGCAACAGACCACGGTGCATACAATAAAGAAATCCAACCCTCAGCAGTCCCTACAGACCACAACAGCCCAGATAATATCCACTGTTTCGAACCCAACTCCAAAGCAGGCCCTCACCAGGGAGGATCTAGTAGCACTCATCAAGGTGTTCACGGATCTTGTTTGCAACACAATCAACTCCACGGAACAACAGAGCGCATTCCGGCAGATGGTCAGTACGCTCCTGAGAGTGTGCTTTCTGACCGAAGAGGAGACAGTGGATGCCATGAATTTGCAGGTTCTCAGAGCGGGCAGGACTCAGTCTCCAGCTCAGGAAACAACAGCGATGGAATAACCTCGGTACCAAATCACACCCTCAAGGTCCTACAATGGAACATCCAGGGCCTGAGGGGCAAACAGCACCTCTTGCTGGAGGCAGTAATTCGGGATCGGGTTGACATCATCTTGCTACAAGAAACTCTGACTGTCTCGACTATGTGCCCAAGACTACCCGGTTTTGCTGGGTATTTTCGGCACTTGGACCCGGGCGTTCACTGCAGAGGCACAGCTGTATTTGTATCCAATACAATACCTCACGAGGTTATAGCCAACCCTGTGGACTGTGGGGAGGATGTCGAGGTACAGGCCATCCTTGTGACATACATGGGGCGCCCATTACCATCTATAGCATCTACAAGAACCCAAGACACACCCTCGACATTGCAGAGCTCCTCGCACTAGCATGCACTGAGTGTATTATTGTGGGTGGAGATTTCAACGCACATCACCCAATGCTGCACTCTCACTCAGCAACCAATGCTGCTGGCAGACACATAGCAATGCTCCTACACGATATTCCAGAGGTAAAGTTGCTAAACAATGGAGACCCCACACCTGTTGGGTGGCTGCCTCGACCTTACCTTCCGGTCAAGACAACTCGCAGCAGGAGCCACATGGGAAACTCATCCTCACCTTGTCAGTGACCACTTTGCAGTGATCACCACCTTCAACATCAACAGGCCTCCCACAGTTGTGCTGCCTCCTAGATGGGACGTAAAGGGGCCAACTGGAAGGTGTTCGAGGATTATCTTCATGACTGGTGGTCCACATACTCTCTATCTGAAGACTGTGATACGGCTGAACAGGAGCTAATCACTGTTCTCATCAGGCAGCAGAGTGCGCAATTCCAAGAAGTCCGCAGGACGCACTCACTAAAAGAGATGGTGGTTCTACAACGACGAGGTGCGGGAGCAGAACCACCGCATCAACTCTTTTAGGAAACTATACAGGCGTAACCCTACGGCAGAGAACAGAATACTCTGAGAGCCTTGTGCAGCATGCCCGCAGAGTCTCTCTCAGAGTAAAAACTGAGAAATGGCTGGAGTGGTGCTCAACATTCGGGCATCACACCACCTTATCTGAGATATGGGGCAAGCTCAACATAGCAACTGGCAAGAGCAAGCCGAGGCCACCAGCACACCCGAACCCATCCAAGGAAGTTGAGAAACTAGTGGAGCTTTTCACTTCCAGGGGAGCCTCCACTCAGCTCCCACAGGACATCCGGAATATACAGACGGATCTTCTGCCACAGCGCCAGCTAACGATACAAGCTGCATGTGAGTCGGAAGATGTGACTGATGAAGACCTCACGGACTTGGAACTCCGACGTGCCATTAAGAACACAGGTGACACTGCCCCGGGCATCGATGGTGTTACATACTCCATGATTGCACGGGCTGGGCAGAGTGGATGGGAGGCCATACTAGACGTCATTAACAAGTCGTGGAGGGCCAGGACACTCCTAGCAGCTTGGGAGAAAGCTACCATCGTACCAATTCCAAAGCCCAAGGACCCAGGCAGTATGAGACCCATATCGCTGACCAGCTGCTTAGCCAAGACTGCTGAGAGGATGGTGTTAAACCGTCTCCTATGGAAACTTGGACCCTCTCATCATCACATATTTGGCTTCACCAAAGGAGTGGGTACAGCAGAGTGCATAACCACTCTACTAAGCCAGATTGCTGATAGTAACAAAAAACCTAGTATTGTCGTCTACCTCGACCTTGAAAAGGCATTTGAGCTAGCCAGCCCCACAGCAATTCTGGCAATACTAGCTTGGAAGGGAATCAAAGGATGCCTCCTGGCCTGGATAGAGTCCTACCTTAGGGGCAGGCAGGCCTGTGTCAGCTTTCAGGGACACTACTCTTCCTTTAAATCCCTGGAAAACGGTACACCACAAGGAGGTGTGCTCAGTCCTACCCTGTTTAACATCCTTATGCAGGAACTTGTGAGCCTTCCCTTTCATAGTGGTACACAGCTCCTCAGCTATGCTGATGATCTTGCACTCGTAGTGAATGGGAAAGGCAATTTAGAACGACAGGCTCAGAGAGCTTTGGACCTAATTACGCAGTCTTGCAAGGAACTAGGCCTCAAGATCTCGGCCGAGAAATCTCTTGCAATGATGTTCAAGGGACCAGATCCTGTGAATAGATTACGTATTCAGGATATAGAACTTGAGTGGACAGGCTCCTACCTGTACTTGGGAATCTACATTGATAAAAAGCTGACCTTTCAGAAACAGGCCGAGTATGTCAGGTCACGTGCACTACTCAGACTCAACGCCATGAGAGCCATGACGAGGCACCGTGCAGGGGCAAGCAAAGACGCACTTCGCTTGTA